TTGTATGAATCCATTTCTGTAACATTATCGACACGACAAAATAATAGGCACGGAGAACAGATTTGTCATTGCCAGGGGTTAGAGATGGTTGTCACGAAGGGCGGGGATGTGACCAGGAATGGATTAGCACAAGAGAAATCTTTGTGGTGACGGAATTAGTTCCATACCTGGAAGCAGGGGGCGGGGGCAGTGGCTACGCGTATCTACCCATGTGACAAAATGGCACAGAACTACACACACACTTGATAGCACTGTCAATTTCCTGCTTTGGATACTATGCTCTAGTTATGTAAGATGGAAACCACTGGCAGAAACTGGGGGAAAGCTACACAGGACCTCTAATTATGAGTTTTCTTATGAATCTGTAATTGCTTCAAAGTTAAAAAATTTTGGGATGGAGGTGGAACACATTCTTTTTAGTAACGCATCACAAGAATGGAGAAGTGAGAACCCAATGTACTCAATTCTAATATGAAGGCAGTAGATGAGCTGATACAAGGGGGTGGGGTAGGGGAATGAGGGAGTGGGGAGAAGGGAGGGGGATGGAGGGCCATGGTATATGGCACACCTCTTGGCAGGGGACACAATTATAAGAAGGACTTTATACAACAAATGCAATCAGTGTAAACTAATTCTTTGTACCCTCAATGAGTCCAAAATAATAAAAGTTTTTTAAAACTCAAATCATTTTGTCTGGTACTAGGAATTCAGCTGACCTTCCCACCAAGTACCCTAGTGATGACCACCAGTGTTGACCCCGTGGAACGCAAATTCACACAGCTATTTCTTCATGCCATTGCTCAACAGAAACAGGATGGAATGCCCAAGTGCCCATTAGTGAATTTTACAACTTCAGAACAGGGACTGACCCAGCCCAGGGACAGGAGTTAAAAGACCAGTAGGGAGTCTGAAGAGGGAGCACGAGCAGTGAGCAAGGTCGGGGGACCACCTACATTCCTCTTCATGCACCCTGACCCATCACACAAGTGAACACAAGATGGCCATGCTCTCATCCCAACATCCCGAAGTCACTTCTGGATCTCTAGAATGGAACAAAAAAGTAGTCATTGTCACAAAAGGGAAGAGATGAAACGAGCTATCTATATTGTGAAACATAAGCCATTTTGCCATGTGCTCTGTGTCAGCATCACCAGAAGAGAAAATGAAAGCTAGGAGGGGCTTGCACATCATTTCGAAGAAGGTCTAAGGGATCGGTCCCATCTGATACCACCCAAGCCCTCCCTACCAGCAAGGCAAGAGGGGCCTCTCAGGAGGCAGATGCCCAGAATAATGCTATCCTAAATGGCAGAGAAACACTGCCCCTGGGGAGGAAAGGGCGTGTCTTTTTTTGTTTGTTTTGCAGGTTTTGACCGGGGCTGGGTTTGAACCCACCACCTCTGGCATATGGGGCCAGTGCCCCACTCCTTTGAGCCACAGGTGCCGCCTGGAATGGGCATGTCTTATTCACCGGGGAATTGTGTGGCCCAGAGGATTCTACTTAGCATGTTTTCCTGAGCATAAATCAGGTTGCTGGGATATAGCACTTTGCTCTGGAAACTGAGAAATTAAACACAAGTTACCTCCCCATAACTGAGGGGTCAGAACCCTCAGGAAGTTACGAAAACAGGCCAGGCCAAAGAACTTCTCCCTGAATGTTGCTCCTCGTAGGTCAGAGGTCACCAGGGCCACCCCAGCTGAGCTGTGAGGTTTGCCTTTCCTTTCTTCCCACAGTTCCTCACCACACTCCAGCCCCACTGGAGTGGATGATATACATTACCTCCCTATGCTGGGGCCCTGCATGTGTGATTTCCTCAAATCTGGGCAGCAGTTACCAATCAACCACTTCTTCTATAAGATAACCTCAGCTTGGCCCCAAAAGAAAGTTTCATTTTAAGAAGAAACAGATCTCTGGGAGACTGCCAGGATAAGTTGCTCAAAGGCTCTCTCCCATCAAAACCCCGCCCCCCTACTCACTAAATGAACCTGTTTTTAATTTAGCATTCTGGACACTGAATGCTGAGCAGTGATCATTGAGCAGATCTCTGCTTTTTAATAATCCTATAAGCCAGAGGCAACTGAGACTATCTCCTGATTAAATGCGACTGTATCTACACTTATGGGAGAAGATACATAAACGTCACCCAAGAGTGGCCAGGCTCAGGTGGAAGAGAGTTATGAAGAGTGAAAGGGTAGGCAGCTGTTAGCATGAGGAGCACACATCCTGTAGCCACCACGGCTCCTGTTGGTCACAGCTGGGATGTGTCTGTCATCAGGGTTTGAAGGAAGCACTGAACAAGCACAAGGACAGGAGGTGGTCTCCCCACCTGCCAAGCCAGAGTTGAGCAGCAGTGTTGATGGTGAGGCCCATGTTGCACAGTAGTTAGGGTCTCACATACCCGGTTCCTCTACACCCCACCTTTCTGGTTCTAGACCCACATGCCAGGAACCATCCTCACAATGCCTTGTCTTCCTCATCATCAGTGGGGACAATAATGGTATCCACTTGACAGTTGTGACAAGGATTAATATGGATAAAATATTTCCATAGTCCCTGGCATACTCATACAGCTCAATTAGCTACTATTACTGTCATTTGGCTGTTACAATTATTATTAACTGTACTTTTCCTTAACTAATAACTACGCTTCATGGAACGATAGTTCCTAAATGTTTGAATGTGTAGTCCTGTTTGCAGAAGCCTGAACTGATCTCAAATTGGTACCCACCCTGGAGAGCACAGAATGGTTTACAAAGCCCTTTTCCCATATCTCATTCCACATAATCCTTACAAAGCCTTACAGAGTAGTATGACCAGAGACTCGGTCATACTACCTACTTTTTCAGATAAGGATCCTGAGGTCCAAGAAAAATGAAAAATGCTTCCCTATGTCACCCAGTTATTAAGTGACTGGTATCGGACATAGATCTGAGTCCTCTGGCCTTATCTCCTTCCCTTAAACCACAAGATTTTTGCAGGAATGTCTACAAAGCCAGTTGTTAGTGTGTCTCAGCAACAAGGAACCTAGAAAAATGACAGATCCCCAGGTTAGGTGTCCTCCGTTCTCAATCATGTCACACATGTCCTGAGACATGTGCAGAGCAGCCACCCACCCTCTCACTAGGAGGAAGAAATCTCTCTTCAAATAGCAAAGTCCTCAGTTACTGCCCCCAGAGGGAAAGGCTTGAGTTTAACTAATGGAATATCAGATTCCAGATTTGCTGAAGGTATCCAACCTTGCACCTGGTTTCAGGCCGATAAGTGAACCTAAGAGAAGGTATCTCCGAACTTCAGTCTTAAAGTTATTATGAATCAAATGAGGCAATAACTTAGAATCTGGTTTTTAGATTCAAGAAACTTTCTTAACTGCTCAACTCCTTTAGGAGCCCAATTGGCCCTAGCCTAGGCTTTAGGTCTGTGTGGCTAAATCGTTGACATATGAGAAATTATCTTATTGTTATATAAGATCTTCAAAGACACTGCAACCATATGAATCAGTTTTAGGGACTCATGGCAAGTCGGAATAGATCAATCTCATTCAGCATTACCTTCCCAGCCAGGAATCTGGTCTGGGACAACCATCCCTCCTGAAAATGGAGGGAGATTGCCCCCACCCTGGCTCTTGCTGAGGCCCCTTTTCTTGGACCACCCAACTCTTGCCCCCACCCTTTCCTCCCAATTCCTAATTTTAAAATATCAAAATTTCCACAATTCTCTGCTGAAACTTCTCTAAAACCTTTTAAATGGTGGAACCAAAACTGCACACTGTGCTCCATCAAAGTCTGGCCAAAGATGAAATTTGAGGATTATTTTAAACTATCCCCAAATTTCTGCTTCTTATTCATAGTCAACTGTGAAGTCAATTCAGCCTTTATTTATTGGGGTGTGGAGGGAGAGCAGGAGGGGGGATCCCAACTGCACTGGTAATGATCTGAGGATGTAGGTGGGATCCACTCTGACCTCCAGATCCCCTTCTAATGTGCATGTATTACCAGTCCACAGAGACCCCTTTCCTCTCTTACAGAGCCCCTCATGTAGCCATGATCTGGCTACATTTTAACCGCAAGGTGGAGGATTTACCCAGTCCCATCTGGACGTTGTGGAAAACAAGTTCTCTGCACCATCCTCCCCAACCTGCCCTGAAAGGGCCCCAACTCCTTCTCTGTGGCATCCCACATCCTTGCCACAGCAGTATGGCCTCTCAGGAGGGATCTGCCCGAGTGTGGATTCAACCATTCCAGACCCCTGGGTAAGAAGGTGCTCTCAATCTAAGCGCTGCCAACACCCTGTCTCGTCTTCACCTGCTCCCTATATTGCCAGGCATCAAGCACCTGCTTAGACGTCACTGAGCAAACCGCGAGGGCCTGCTGCTTTTCTGCCCCTCCCCCTCCCTCCCGGCCAACCGATGTCAGCTTCGGGGAAGCTGGCCTCTGAAGGCATCGTCTACACCGCCTGCAGCAGCACAGCCAAGCAGCAGAGCCCCTGCGCTGGTGGGAGAAGAAAGCCTGGGAAAGAGGATCATCTCTTCTGCCACCCACCCCAGAAAAGGATGGACTCCGACCTCCCCCATCTTCGTTAATGGGATCAGCTTTGGATCTGGCGACTTCTGAGGGACAGGGACCACAGCGTGTCCCTCAGAAGTCGCCAGATCGAAAGCTGATCCCATTAACGAAGCAACTGCCCGCAGGAGACTGAGAACTTGTTACTCCAGACGTTCTTTCTCAAGAACAGGATAATCCCCTAGCCCAATATGACAGAACGCTCCAAATTGAGTTGCCCCAACTTAGCAGGAATTTCACTGTCCTGTTTCGCACCCTGACGAGGCCCCGTGAGCGCGCAAACGCAGGCGCACACACGCCCGGCACACGCTCGCCGGTGCGGGAGCCGCCTCGCCTGCAGCGCGGGCCTCCGAGCCCCGCGCACCCCGCGCCTCCCGGGCTCGAGAGGACAGACGCGGGCGCCCGGCCGAAGGTGCCCAGACGGCTTCGCGGACTCTGCTCACCTTAATGTTGCGGAAGACGGAGCGGCGACAGCTGCGGGCTCGGCCCGAAGAGGCGCTGCTGCCCTGGGCCGCGCCGGGTTTGGACAGGAGCCCCATGGAGGCGGGTGGTGGTCCTCGCAGAGGAGCGGCGCGGGGCGGCAGCGGCAGGGTCTGGCGAGCAGGGTCTGGGGCGCCGCGGGCTGGTCCGGCCGGCCCGGTGCGAGGCGAGCGCGGCGCGGAGACTGAGTGAGAGAGTGCGCGCCCAGAAGTTTTTATAAGTGGCCGCGGCAGTTGCCAATGATGAAACGCGCTCTCCCTCCTCCCTCTTTTCCTCCGGTGTCAAAGGCGCTGCGCGCCCCCGCCCCCAGTCGCCGCTGCCACCCCGTCAGACAGGTGTGACGCCGCAGGGACCCGCGAGGCTTGACCGCTCCAGGAAAAGGTCCCACCTGCTGCGAGGCGGGGGAGGTGGGGGGAGGGGGAGCGGGCCCGGGGAGGGGAGGTGATAAGTTGGAGGGGGCAGGAGGCTGCAGGGGTTTGGGGAGCCTGGGGACTGGCGAAGTGAGGGTGAGCGCGATGGGGACCGGTGGGTGGGTGATTAGAGGGGCCTGGGGAACAGTTGGCGGGACTAGGGTACAGATCTGGGGTAGGGGTCCGACGGGGCGCTGGAGGGGCCGACGGGAGACAGGAGGTGGAAGGGAGCTGGGGGTTCTGTAGCGGAGGTGAGCCCCGGCGCCCCTCCCGACGCGCTCGGGAGATTTACGGAGCCAGTCTCTGCTTGTTTGCACTCGCCGCCGCAAACCTGGGCCCTCAGTTCCGGTGATGGCTCTGATACTCGCTGAGGCTCTGTTTGTGCTGAGGACTGATTTATATTTAAACTGCTCTTTGCGCTGGAGAAGGGGCGGGTAGCAAGGTGGAGAGGTGGGGGCCGCCCCAAGCTGGGCCTGAACTCTGGACCTCAGCCAAGGTAAACTGCAGGCGCTGTCAAGTGTCAGCTGTGTCTGGCCTGGAGTGCTGTGGGGGAGAGGGGGGGCCGTGGACAAATGGGACGCACCCCACTGACCTCCTTCTCAGGGATGGAATGAACAGCGGTTTACTTTTTCCCCTAAGGTATTTACCACCAGGATTCCCAGGGCAGAGAAGAGAAAGAAGGTGAGGTTTTGAAGGAAAGGATAAGATGGTCCTGCCAAAAGCAGCTGCAGTAAGGAATCTAGTTCTGGAGGCATTTTTCCCGCTCCCTATTTCCTGTCGTCCCCTGTAGAGTCAACCTCTTCCAGCCCACCCCACTCCCAGGAGAAGATGCCCTCATTACCCGGGAGCTTTGGCTAAGACAAGGCCCACAGGGTGGATGGCCACATGGGCTTCTTACTTCCACCAAGGCCTGATGCCTTTCTGGGCCTGGTCTGGCCTGGCCTGCTTCCATGTGCTTCTTCTATCCATATGTGACCCAAGGACTCTGGACAAAGAGGCATTCCAAAGCTGCTGAACAGTGCGGACAGCCTCTGGCCACTTCACTCACCCACAGAGTGAAGTGCATCCAGATAGGCTTTGCAGAGCCCTGCAGCAGCCCAGGACCCAGAGCAGGTATGTACTCCAGGGTCACCAGCTGGAGAACATGGAACATAAGGACAGCTACCACTGTGGAGCACTCAGCATGTGCTGGGCACATGGTGCATTATGCCAGGCCCTCTCCCAAGCACCCACATGCATGGTTCCATGTAACCCCACATCAGCCCTACGGTTATAGGTACTGTTACAGTCTGGACGTGACAAAGATGCTAGTCTGAAAGCCACACAGCGAGTGAGTAGTGGAGCTGGACCCTGCCTCCAAAGCCCCTCCAATGACTATGTGTCATTGGGAGTTTAGCTGAGCAGCCCCAATCACACATTGAACCAGGGAATGTCTAGACCAAGGTCACAGAGGCATGTGGGCCACCATGGCTGGAGCTTCTTCCTGAAACTCTGAAGACTTACTATGACGCCCTGGTAGGATCCCAGGGAGGATCATCCTCTCCAGCCCTCACCTCATCTTGCTCCGTTAACCTGGCCCTCTGCCAGCTGTCAGTATCAGCATCCTCTCCGAAGGAAAGGCCTATTCAGAAATGTTCACAGATGCTTATCTGCATTCATTGACCTTTACTAGGTGGAGTTCTGCTAAACGTAATGGAGAGCCAACCAGAATGACTTAAATGTGATTTATGTGTCTCTCATAATGAGAGGTCTGCTAGTGGGCAGATTAGGGGTCATGGCCTTGGGCCCTTCAGAATTCCTTAGTGTGTGGCTCCTATCCCATGGCTGGCTCATTGTCACACGGTGGCTGCTCCACCTCTAGCCTCCTCTTCTAATTCCTGGAAAGAAGTGGAAAACAGGAAACAGGAAGGGACCATGCTCACACCAGGGGAGCAAATCACCCCCTTGCATGCACAGCTGCTTTTCCTTAAGTCTTGTTGGCCTATACTGGGCACTAAAATGTATGGTTAGTTCCATGGCTACCCCTGAGCAAGACTGGAGTTCTATTACAGAAAAAGAGAGAAATGATATTGTGCTTTTAACTTCTAGTGTCTACACAAAGAAAAACCTGTTTCCATAAAAGAGCACCCTCAGGGTCTGCCTCCCAGTCTTTGCATCCTTCAACTTCAACAAATATTTCTGGCCCCGAACAAAACCAAAAAGCAAAGCCCAAGAACATCTCCTGATAGTCTCGGGGTGGGGAGCAGGAAGGGAAAGCATCACTGATGCGGGGGAGAAAGCCACTGTGCACAGCTGCCGTGGAAGTACAGAGCGGGGGCCTTACCCCACCCTGGGCAGCAAGAAGACTTCCTGGGAGAGAGGACTGGCAAGCTTGAGCCCAAAGGAGTGGAACGATTGAGCGCATTAGGGTAAGGAGGGTAAACCTGCTCTATGGCTTCATACCCGGTGGAGCACAAGACCCACAGCAACAGGTGTGTGTGAGGCAAAGAGGCTTCATCCTCAGCGCAGTAGTGAGCCAAGGCTTCTGGATGCCGGCACCCTGGACAGATTTGCATCTCACATGGGCCTCTTTGGCAGCCAGGTGAAGAGTGGAATGGGGCAGTCTGAGGGAGGAATCCCAGGAGCCATGGCAAAGGCCAGTGCTGCCTCAGTGGGTGGTGGAAGGAGGACAGAGTGAGGAGGAGAGAGTGGCTCTAGAAATGTCAAGGGAGATGTTAGTGATGACTCCTGGGATCTGGCTTGGGCAGCCCGCAGTGGTGATACCCACTCCTGGCAGAGGGGACCCAGAAGGAGCAACAGCTATTGTGAAAAGCCAGTGAGGCCCCCAGGGCTCATCTTGAATTCAAACTGCACAGAGTACACCCAAGTAAAGATGTTCAGGAGGCAGGTGGGCGTGCAGGTCCAGCTCTTGGGGGGAACACTAGGCTAGGGGCATGGCTTGGGGATCCCCCCTGGAGAATGTGGTTAAACATTAAGAAGAGATGAGTCTCCCAGTGAGAAGGTACTGATGAGAATATGTCTGGGATAGGTGACGGCAATATCAGGGGTGGCCCAGGGGATGGGCCCAGAGTGGAGGGACGTCAGTCCAGGGGATGATGTTTCCAGGAGGAGGGCAGGAGCACTGGCTTGCTGCTGGGGGCAGGGGTGGAGGTGGGGGAAAAGACAGGAGCAATAGTAACTGGGCTGGTGACACTGGCACTGAGGAACTCGGCAAGAGTGTTTGCAGTGGGTGATGTGGGCAGAGGCCAGGCTGTGCAGGTTGAGGAGGCAGTAGAAGGGAAATGGTGCAAGCAAGCCATCAATGACTTTCCCAAGATTGTGGAGGGGAGGGGAAAGACGGGGGCTGAGCAGCTCCCCAAACTCCTCTTGCCTGGTTGTCCCCAGCCTTCCCAAGTCCCCTGCTGGAGCAGTTGCACATTTATTCCAACCTCTGGGCTTTCGCTCATACTACCCCTTGCCTGCGCTGCCCCATGATGCTTGGCTTCTGCCCTTCACAGGGTGGCTCATGTCACTGCCTGTTCAGGGCCCTGTAGCATAGTGGAATCATGTCTTATGGAGTGGTGTGGTCCCATCACACACACTACCATGTTTCCGTGAAAATAAGACACTGCCTTATATTCATTTTTTCTCATGAAGGCACACTAGGGCTTATTTTCAGGGGATGTCTTATTTTTTATTAAGTATAATACAACAATCTACATTTATTTAAATACAGTTAAGTCATCTTCTTCTGGAACCTGGCAGGGGGAGCCGACCTTGTTGGTGGGTCTGGTGCTAGTGATGTGTGAACTCCTTTCCCCTAGCTATTCTCATGTGTGCAATAGAATGCCTGCAACCGCGGTTACCACACGTGCACACGCACAAGTGCAAATGGCTCAGAAAAAGCTGTGGCAGATAAAAAGCGTTCCAGTCTTCCTTACCTCTCGGCGCAGAAATGCATGGTGTGGCTTTGCAGATACATTCCATAACCACGCCCATCACTAGGTCTTATTATGCAGTAAGGCTTATATTTAACAAATGCATAGAAATCCTGCTATGGCTTATTTTGGGTGGAGGTCTTATTTTGGTGGAAACATAGTATCTCTTATCACTCAGGAAACTGGAGGTTATTATTCTCATTTCATCGATGAATAAATGGAGGCTCAGGGCTCTTCCCTAACACACACAGTGTGTTTCTGTGTTTATTGTCACAGGTTACAGTTGGGACAATATATGTGATGGCTTAGGGCACAGACCTTGCAGTCAGACAAAGATGTGGACTACTGTTGGCATCAGCTATATTGCCTCAGAGAACTTGCTTAATCCATTGGCTCCTCACTGCCTTCTCTTTGAGATGAGCTGTTCTAGAGTACATAGGAGATCGTGCACAGAGAGCCTGGTGCACACCTGGGCCCTGGTGCTGGGCAGCTGCTGTCACTGTGGTGCTTGGTGGTATCAATGTCCATACATGTCAGTAAACTACACTCTCGGTCTCTTCCTCCAGCTCAGCTGGGAGCTCCTTGAAGACAAAGGTTCTGTGTTAATCCTCTTTATATCCCCTATTTGGCCCAGCATTCCCTGTTGCTTAAAAATGTTTATTAAATGGGATTAGGCTGAAATGAATTCCAAAAAGACCCCAGTGGCTGGAGAAGGCCTCATTGCTCCTAGAC